TGAGAAGTATAAATACGTATTATTCTGATCCTGTTTTAGTTTGTACACAATCCATCACAGCTGCAAATAACACAAATCATGTCACACTCCAGCAGAACATAGCAGATGTATCCTAGTACCAAGATGTCTTGGTGCATCCTAACTTTTTTAATATCAACATTTTTATATGACATTTTGGCCATTTTGGCCTTTAGAAAAATGTTTTTTGAGGGTCTCAACTCCCAATAAATGTCATTTTGGGAAGTCTAGCCACTCATTGTTACTCAGTACTTTTACTTTTAATACTTAAGTACATTTCATGTCAGAAATTTGCTTTTGATAGGCTACTTAAGTACAAAATATATTAGATACTTTAAGACTTTTACTTAAGCAACATTCTTAGAGGAGATTTGAACTTTTACCAAAGTAAATTTATGTTAAGGTACTTGTACTTTTACTCAAGTATCACTTTGAGGTACTTATACAACTCTGGCCAGGATGAAAATAAGCCAAAATGATTATATGACAACTTTCTACGTCTTATCTTTTTTTAAGAGTAAAAAGTACAGATATTTGTCTGAAAATGTAACGAGTAGAAGTAAAAAGATGGCTGAAAAATAATTACTAAAAAACTAAAAGATAACCAAAAGTTGTATTTAAGAAAAGTACAAAGTATTTGTACTTTGTTACTTTTGAGCTYCTGCAGTATGTCTACATTAAGTACACATGTTCATTAAATATTTTTGCTAATTTTACAGTCAAATGTGAAAACTGTATCAGTGCAGCTGGTGATAAYAAACTGAAATAAGGCTTTATCAGCATGACTACACAACACATGAACAAATAAACTTATTTCACAACAAATAAAAAGTTTATGTCAGAAGTGGGATTCGAACCCACGCCTCCAGGGGAGACTGCGACCTGAACGCAGCGCCTTAGACCGCTCGGCCATCCTGACTGTGTGAGTCCTGCACGGGCTGCTCTGTACTSTGCCCTGTTTACACTGCACTGTTTCAATGTGTTTATTCTGGATGATAACACATAAAACAGACCAAACATGACGTCACTGTCAGAAAACATTTATGTTACAGCTCATGATACTCTGCTGCCTACACACATGATGATCACGTGACTAAACATCTACAGAAAAGAACAAAAAATCATGCAAATCAGGTTTCCACCTCTCGTCTGATTAATTTTGACAACTCTAATCCCACAGATTAGATGAACCGTCACAGCTGTCGTTGCATCAGGTCTTAAAACCTGAACACTGAGGAACCCGTGGTAGTTTTCAGCTGTAGCGGTTAGCTCAGTTAGCTCAGCTAGCTCAGTTAGCTCAGTTAGCTCAGTTAGCAGCTAGCAGCAGCAGCAGCAGCACTTCGTCATTTCTTGATAAAAACTGTAAGTAATTCATTTATCAGGACTTGTTCAGACATTAAATGTTTTTATTAAACTAACAACAAACGCAGGTCTGACTCTGTTTTTTAAGGTCTGTTTGTTGAACTGTGTGTTAGGAAGCTAATGCTACCTGCTAGCTTTGTTTTTCTGATATGTTTCAGTGGTTAGCCTGTTTCCTGTTGTTGTGTTTTAGAGTTAAATTCATGTAGTAAGACAGAGGACAGTCTTCATCAGCCTGCAGCTCAGTCAACATCAGACTGGTTTAGTCTGGTTCCAGTAGAAACAAGTTTAAATAACAGATTTTATAAAAGCTGAAAAACCTCACTGGTTTTGTTGACAAGTGATGCAAACTACATTCATCGGCCACTTTATTAGGTACACCTGTCCAACTGCTCGTTAACATTTAATTTCTAATCAGCCAATCACATGGCG